TCCTCTTATGGTTTCTTGAAGTAGTTTTTTATAGTTTTCTTTGTAGAGGTCTTTTGTGTCCCTGGTAAGATTTATTCCGAAGTATTTTATTTTATTTTATTGTCACTTTAAATATCCTAAGTCATTGAGTCTCTTGTAAACATTGAAGATGGCTGCACCCTCTGGACAAGCAAAATTCCACAGCTCACCCTTTCTCCTTGTTCTCTGCTTCCCGTTTTATTCACTGGTCACCAGTGCAGTCCTCCATGAAGCCTCTGGGTAGCAGGGCCGTTTTTTAGGTTAATTCTTAGTTCCTTACACCACTTGGTAATATCCAAACTGTCTGTGCCATTGGGATCGCTACAGACTGCAGCTCCATATGTCTCCTTTTTTGGTGTTTTCATGCAGGTTCTTCTAGTTAAGAGTATAGTCCACTTCTGTATCCTTCCTTTCAAAGCTTAGGGCTCCAGGATTATCGTCTGTATCTGTGTTAATTGATTCCCCTTTTCTTTCTTGAAGAAGGTCTGTGTAGTTTGTCTGCCTATTCCGCCATCTGACCCAAAGATTACTTTTTTATGTTAAAAATAGTATATGTCATTATAGCATGTTTAGAAATACTAAAGTAATTTAAAAAACACCACCATTAGCTTTGCATAACACCTTTTAACATGGTGGTATATTTTTAATCTTTTCTTTTTATACCATTAAGGTTATCTCAGAATCAAACCACACTCACTGCCCTAGAGTTGATTGCAACTCATAACGACCCCAATTGTATTTTCAAGGCTGTAAATCTTTATGGAAGCAGATTGCCTCCTCTTTCTTCTGTGGAGTAGGTGGTGGGTTTCAGCCATGGATGTGTTGGTTCGCAGCTTTAACCACAACACCACCAGGGCTCCTTAAAGTCATCTGGTACATTTAATTTTATACTGTTTTCGTTTTCTGGGAGATCTGGTGGTGGCATGGTTAAAGCATTTGGCTGCTTCTGATCTCACAGTTTCTTCTACATATGGTCGGTCCAGTAGCACACACTCTTACTTTTCTTGCTGCCAGTGATTTTATTAGTGGCCGATTTTGTCACATTTTCTGATGTTTTAGCTCCAATGTTGTGATAAATAATATTTGGGAACCTTTATCAGTAACTTTTTTGAGAAAAGTAATAATTAAAGGAAAAGAAAGAGATAAAGAAAAGAAAGGCTTCTGCTGTTCCTAATACAGGCTTGCCTCTCCATCCAAAAGTAGACTGTTCCTTTGCAAACCTTTCATAAGCTGAAATGGCATAAAGTGAAGAAGCAATTACTATTAATTTATGTTTTTGAGTTTTCCTAGACCCAAAAGCAAACCTATCAAATCATACCAGTTAACACATGAAACCTAAAATAACACTAACATACAGTGTTCACAGTTCAAATTCAAAGGTATGGCAGCTTGATGCTGGAATGCTGAGTGTGGCTCATTGCTGAGGAAGGAACTTGGTGATGCCAATCTCGCTACTTGGGGTGCATGCAGTCTCTTTAACAATTTTCTGCAAAACAAAGGTTTAACACTAGTTTTGCTTTTTTTTTGTAAAAATGAAAATCCTCTTCAGATTTCTTTTGATTAGCTAAGATCAAAAGAATGTAGATGTTTTATGAAAGTGGTATGAAGTGAACTTTTGAAAAGTGGGGGATACTGTAAATGTTGTAATTAAAATAATCTAAGAAATACTACATTTAAGCAATTTACAATTATATATTATTTTATGATTAAAATTGCTAATAGACATTACTAAGGATTCTGTGGGCCTAGTATGGGAGGAGGTCCATGGTGGGGAGGTGACACCATGCATTATTTCATTGAGTGACACCACAGTATTTTCTTTACAGTATTTATTGAGAAAGGCAAAGCAAGGAGTCACTGCTCCAAAGTCTTAGATCCATTAATATCATAAATTGTAAAGCACATCTGCCTGGTAGGAAAGAGAAATACAAACCAGGTGTCCATTGTGACGGAACCTAGCCTGGGGAGTCATTGGCAAGCCTAAAGAATTGGAGCTCACGAAATAGGCACTTAGTCTTTCTTAGGTGACATAGCTTGGAAGGAATTGAAATGCTCTTACTTCCTGTAAGTTAAAGGTAATAAGTAGGACATGTGGGAAGAACTGCTGGCAGATGCTTATGTTGAATTTCTTTTTTTTTCAGGTGGTGTTGGGATTACTTGTTGGATTTTAGTCTGTAACAAAGTTGTGGCTATCGTGCTTCACCCTTTCAGTTGAAAAGGAAGATGAAAGCAGCTATGATACTTATTAAATGGATTTTCACTTATTAGGTTAAAAATCTGACTTACAATTTTTTTTCCTAAGAAACAAAGGTATACTGGTTAGTTACTTTGTGGAACACATTTGTTCTTGGACTTTATATGGAACTCTTATGTAAGAATCATGATTTTGTATCTTGTCATTGAGCCAGAGAGATCAATTTATGACACTTGTGTACCAGCTGACGTAATCTTGGATTTATAAAAAGTGTGTAACGTTATGGGCCATCTACTTGCTGTTACTAACGATGTGCTCTCTTCGCATGATTTTGCTTCACTTTGCCAGCTGGAAAGTCAAAATTTTCTAACAATTTAAGTACTTTAAAACTTAGTGCTGTTTTCAATCCAGATTATAAAATAATTTAATTTTAATTCCACTACTAGAATTTGAAAAGTTGTTCTTTAGTCTCAAGCAGTACTACTAAAAGAATAACACTAATTGACTTTGCCTGTGCTTTTCTTTTCTGCTATTTAAAATGTCACTTGTTAGGCAAGAGTTTGCATAGGGTTGACCATTTGTTTGAAATTCTTAATTTTTCATTATTGTGTTTTATAAATGTATTCATAAGACCATAATGCTTTGTGTTCACATTGTGTGTTTTGTACTTAGTGCATTTAAAATGAAGTGGATTTTATAAACATTTAATATTTATGATTTGTAGAATAGAACAAAGTAAAAACACCTGGAAACCTGATTAAATTGACCCAAACTGATTATACTGCATATTTACACAAATAATGCACACATTATACATTTTCTTAAACCACAGAACTCCTATATCTTATTTTCATAAGTGTACTCTACTAGTATTTTTTTTTTACATGTTGCTGACTTCAATTTCAAGAGCTCTGGTGGCGTAGTGCCTAAGGCATTTGACTGCTAACCAGAAGGCTTGCAGTTCAAACCAACCAGCCACTCCTTGGAAGGAAGGTTGGGCAATCTACTTCTGTAGTGGTACCACCTCAGAAACCCAAGGAAGGGTCACTATGAGTTGGATATGACTCAGTGGCAGTGAGTTTGGTTTTGTTTTTTACTTCAATTTCAATTTTTTTTTCTGTCCAATGAATTTAATGTTACCAGGATAAAACTGATTTCAAGGAAACTTCATTTAAGGTAAGTATTTTCCTAAATCAGGTGCAATCAGTGGTGAATTGAATAGGCTCATGACAGAAATTAGACACCATGTTCAGAGTATGAATGCTAGAAGAACTAGTATGAATGCCAGAAGAATTACTAAATAAGAAATAATTCTAGGCCTAAAAGTACAAGGACAAGATGTTGTTTATATTTTATTGCTTTCTTAAATCTAAAACTGAAGCATAATTTTTGATAATCAATATCTTTGAAATTAATAAATTAAAGTCACTAGAAGAAATTGTGGTTTCGTCTTAAAATATAGGCCATTTTATTCAGTCATATTTAGGCTCTCATGGGCTTGTTTTAATTTTCTTCAGCTTCAACTTGAATTTGCAGATGAGCAATTCATTGTCTGTTCCACAGTCAGCTCCTGGTCTTATTTTGACTAAAGATACCAAGCTTCTCTATCTCCTCTTTGCACAGATGTAGTAGATCTGATTCCTGTGTATTCCATTTAGCACAATCCATGTGTATAGCTGCCATTTATGTTGTTGAAAATCGGTATTTGTTGGTCCTGCACAATTCTATCATGTGATTTCCAGCATCATTTCTATCACCAAAGCCATATTTTCCAACTACCAATGATGATTCTTTGTTTCCAGCTTTTGCGTTGCAGTTACCAGTAATCATCAGTCCATCTTGATTGCGTGTTTGGTTAATATCAGACTGCAGAAGTTGGTAAAAATCTTCAATTTCTTCATATTTGACTTAGTGGTTTGTGCATAAATTTGAATAATGATAGTATGAATTGGTCTTCCTTGTAGATGTATGGATACTGTCCTATCACTGATAGCATTGTACTTCAGGATGGATCTTGAAACATTCTTTTTGATGATGAATGTGATGCCATTTCTCTTCAATTTGTCATTCTTGGCATAGTAGACCATATGATTGTCTGATTCAGAATGGCCAGTGCTGGTCACTTTCAGTTCATTAATGCCTAGGATATTTGATCTTTATGCATTCCATTTAAATTCTGACAATTTCCAGTTTTCCTAGATTCATACTTCATACATTCCATGTTCTGATTATTAATGAATGTTTGCAGCTGTTTCTTCCCATTTTGAGTCATGCACCATCAATAAATGAAGGTCCCAAAAGCTTTAGTCCATCCATATCTCTAAAGTTGACTCTACTTTGAGGAGGCAGCTCTTCTCCAGTGGTATTTTGAGTATCTTCCAACCTGAGGGGCTCATCTTCTGGCACCATATCAGAGAAGGTTTCACCATTAGTCATAAAATTTTACCATAGTGTATCAGTGCTTTATTGCTATCCATGAGGTTTTTAGTGGCCAATTTTTTCAGAAGTGGATGGCCCTATCCTTTCCAGTCTATCTTAGTTTGGAAGCTCTGCTGAAGCCTGTCCATCATGGGCAACCCTGCTGGTATTTGAAATAGCATAGCTTCCAGCATCACCACAACATTCAAGCCACCACAGTAGGACAAACTGATAGATGAGTGGTGAATAGAATAGCTGAACAGAAGGTTTCAAAGGGTGGCTTGAGAAGACAAAAGTAAAGTATAATGATGAAATGTGTGTGCAAAGACCTGGAATTAGAAAACTAAAAGGAAAGCACACACTCAGTATTTCTCAAACTGAAAGAACTGAAGAAAACATTCAAGCCTTGAGTTGTAATATTGAAAGATTCTATGGGCAAAATATTGAACGATTCAGGAAGCATCAAAAGAAGATGGAAGGAATACACAGAGTCACTGTATCAGAAATAATTGGTTGATGTTCCAGCATGTAAGGAGGTACCATATGATCAAGAACCAATGGTGTGGTAGTTAAGTTTGTGTGTCAGCCTGGCTGGGCCTGGTTTTGTAGCTGGGCAGCTGGATGTAGTATTCCCCATGATGAGACCAGTAATCAGCTCCATCGTGGAATCTACTGTGAGCAGCTGAGTAGCTGCTTTAGGGATGTAGTCTGCTTCCTGTATATAAGGAGAAACCTTGGGGAATGGTCTCTAGCTTATGGCACAGTTGAACCCTGGATGTAGCTATGTTACTGTTCAGCAGCCTGCCATGCTCTGCTGACCTTGGGACTTTTCGATGGACTTGAATTAATGGCCTGCCATGTGGTTTAGTAACATCGGGACTGTGCCTTTTTACTGGTCAACTTTGGGTTTGTCAGCCTCAGCAGTCAGCAGCGGAGTGAATAAAAGCCTCCACTTTCAGTGGGCCAGGAGCAGGAGGTAGAGCTGAAGGCTAAGGTTGAGGGGCTTTTACCCAGCTCCTAGAGCCTGACACTTTGAACTCGGACTTAAAGCCTCCAAACTGTAAGAGAACCAACTCCTGTTTCTTTAAGCCATTCCACTTGTGGTATATTGTCAGAGTGGCACTAGGTAACCAGAACAAATGATATTGAAGAAAGAAGTCCAACCTGCACCGAAAGAACTGGCAAAAAACAAGGCTCCAGAAATTGATGTAATACCAATTGAGATGTTTCAACAAACGGAGGTGGTGCTGGAGGTGCTTATTTGTTTATGCCAAGAAATTTAGAAGGCAGTTACCTGGCCAACTGACTGAATGAGATCCATATTTGTGCCTGTTCCAAAGAAAGATGATCCAACAGAATGTGGAAATTATTGAACCATATCATAAATATAATTCAAAAGTAAAATTTTGCTGAAAATAATTAAAAAATGGTTGCAGCAGGGAACTTCCAGAAGTTCAGATTCAGAAGAGGGAGTAGAATGAGGGAGTAGAAAATATTATTGCTGAAGTCAGATGATCTTCACTGAAAGCAAAGAATACCAGAAAGATGTTTACCTGTGTTTTATTGACTGTGCAAAGGCATTTGACTGTGTGGATCATAACAAATTATGGGTAACATTGTGAAGCATTGGAATTTCAGAACACTTAATTGTGCTCATGAGGAACCTGTTCATAGACTAAGAGACAGTTGTTTGAATAGAAGAAGGGTATAATGCATGTTTTAAAGTCAGAAAGGGTATGTATCAGGGCTGTATCCTTTCATCATGCTTATTTAATCTATATGCTGAGCAAATAATCTGAGAAGCTGGACTATATGAAGAAGAAAGGGGCATGACCTCAAGACTGGAGAATACTCATTAGCAACCTGTGACAGATGACACAACCTTGCTTGTTGTTGACTTGAAGCTCTTACTGATTGTGATAGTTGGAGCTGCATGTCTACTTGGCTGGACCACAATTGTGTGTGGTTTAAGCAATTGTGATGTGGATTATTCCAATGATGAGAATCGGATGTATATGTTTTGAGCAGCCAATCCATTGAAAGGGAGTTTCCCTAGGGGTGTGGCCTGCTTCCAATATATTTATGGACATCGTGGGCAAACGAGACACTCTTCTGTGGATCTGGATCCTGTTGTGCTGCCTACAACTGTCTGTGAGCGAACAGTCCACCATTCAGCTTGGAGATCTTGGATTCATCATTCGTTGGAGTCAACAGCCAGTATACTGCCTGCCAAACTTGAGCTTGTCAGTCCCTGCAGCTCTGTGAGTCGGAAAAAGCCTCCAGCTTGATGTCTGATCCAAGAATTTGGGACTTTCCAGCTTTTATAAGTGTGTGAGCCATTTTCCTAAGATAAATTTCTCTTTCTCTATATGTATATATAAGCTTTACTGGTTTTGGTTCTCTAGAGTACCCAGTCTAACACACTGATGAAGATCATTATACCTCAAAGAAAATGAAAATCCTCACAACTGGACCAATAAGCAACATTATGATAAATGGAGAAAAGATTGAAGTTGTCAGGGATTTCATTTTACTTGGATCCATAATCAATGTCCATGGAAGCAGCAGGCAAGAAATCAGGTGTTATATTACGTTGGGCAGAT